CAGGGCAGGCCCCACGCTCAGCTTTTAAGGGGAAGAGACTTTTAGTTAAGAGGTAGGGCCTCAGGGTCTTGGGTGATTAAGCTGACTTTCAGAGCTGGGAAATAGTTCCCAACTTATGCGCAAGTGGGCTTCATCGCGCATCTGGAGGAGCAGACTGGAAAGCTCTTCCCTGGGCCACACAAAGTACTCTGAAGGTTGCTTCCTGAGCAGCGCGGGGCAGTCACCGGATCCGCGAAGTCCTTTCTATTCCATGCTAAAGAAGACGCCCGGGGCCGCAGCCCTCCAGGAGCCAGCACCCTCCTGCCGGGATGTGCTTCTCCTCTGCAAACGCTCCTTTTGGGTCAGTTTCGCGTCTTCCGGGATAAAGGATGCCTAGAGATCCCAGGAGCGGAAGGCGTGGTGCCCAGGTCCAGTAGCAAGTGGACGAGGGTTGGGGCGGGGACCCGGGAGTGCACTTGCTTCGCTGGGGTGCAGGTGGGATGGGCAGTGCGGGGAGGGTGCGCTCCGGATGCGGTGAGCTGTAAGAAGTCCACCCAGCTGGGGCTGCCAGGTGAGCTGCGATGGGGTCTTGGGAACACAGAGCAAGGTGCAGGGACCCTCGCTGTATCCAGGAGGAGGGCGGGGTGACCCCCCCCCCCCGCCCCACCTCCGGGAGAAGCAGCACTCCTTCCCCTTCAGTTTTTCCCCAGGGAGGTGCTCATGTATCCTGATGGAGAAGGGAGCTGTGTGTGTGTGTGTGTGTGTGTGTGTGTGTGTGTGTGTGTGTGTGTGTTGAATTTTGAGAACAAAAAGCCAGGACCCCTGGAGACTTGACTCAGTCCTGGACAAAGTTTGGAGTACTTGTCACATCTTATAATTTTTCTGTGGGGCAGAGGTTACTTTTGGGAACAGAGAGCTCATGTTTGACTCAGGTCCATCCTCAGCCCCGTGTCCGTCCGTGTCCCCCCCCCCCCCCCAGATACACTCAGCCCTCGGCACTGAAGAGCTGTGGATCTGAGCAGGGTCAGAAGGTCTGGAGACTCAGTCCTACATCCCTACTATTGGGGTGCAAATCAACAGAAACCTTTCTAATGAAATGCAGTGCTGCCTCCCCCAGTTTCTAGGAATTTAGCACACTAGCTTGGTATTGTTTCTGGATCTCCTAAATTGTATACAAAAGCGATCAAGCATGCCTATAATTCTAGCACTCTAGGAGGCTGAGGCAGGAGGATCACAAGTGTGAGCCCAGCCTGGAGCTGTGTCATGGTGCTTGTTCATGTTCTCTGAATTTTTTTTAATGTTCTCTGAATTTAATTGATGCGTTTGTGAGCTGTTTAGCTCCCTGGGTCATGAGACCAAGTCCTGAGTCATGGGACAGGGAAAGAAAGTGCCTTACCTGACTTTCACTGCAAGACTGGCTCTTGTGTTTTGCTTTTAGCATCATACATATTTTGTAAACTGAGGCCATACTTTTGGTGAGATTCTAAAAGCGAGCTTACCTTTCTTAGTCAAGCCCTCTTGCCTTACAGTTGGCCAGTCAGCCTCCATTAAATCCCATGCTGGACTGTTGATTCTCAAAACAAGAAGGGAGTTGTTTCTGCCTCCAACTTGCCTTGTCTTGAGATGATTATTTTTAAAATGTCCCCAAAACATGGCCAAGGGGTTATTTGGCAATGACATGAGTGGTAATTTTGCTCTTTACTGTATTTTTTCTAAACCTTTGTTATGTTTTGTTTTTGGTAGTAGTTACTGATTGTTGACCCCTTTGGCTCAAGGTAAGTTTTGCTGATGTTATTGATTGTTCTGTAATGTGTTGGGTAGAAACTCATTGAGCACTTCTGGAGTGGGCATGAGGTGGCTTGTGCTTCTGCTTTCAAGGAACTGACAGATAAGCAGTTCAGACTTGAGCTCTGTCTGCTTCTCTACCACTTACTTTTTGATGGAGCAAAATTCTGATTGGAATGAGACATTTTGAAGATTCTTATGATTATTAGTAGAAGAGTCTTTGCATCTTTGTTCCAAAAACAACCTGAGCAAGTTCCTGGCCTTTTGGTATCCTGAGGCCAGACCACAGTGGGTAGGGACTTCTGAGACTCCTTGGCCACAACCATCTCCTTTCAGGTTTGAGATACTACCTGCTTTTCCTGCTTGAGTCCATGTAAAGACATCTGAGCATAGGAGAAGCTGTCCAGTGTGGCTCCCTGGCCTCGGATTGCCCTTGCTGATCCGTAGGGCCTGACTGTGGTCATCTGTGCATGACTGCTGTATGCATCCGTGCAGGTAGTAGTTTTGTGAGTTGAACCTGATGTTAGGGTAATAGTTTTGTGCACTTCCAGGTAGGCTAAATTAACCAGAGATGGAAAACTCATAGCTCTCAGGGAGAGCCAACAGATCCTAATAACTTCCCAGGACAGGTTCCATGTGCCTGGGCTAGTCATTCCTTAATTCATAGTGAATAAAAGTAACAACTCTGGAAATGCATTCTGATCTGTACCCCATGTAATCAAGATCTGGAGGAGATTTTGAGGCCATGCTACAGGGGAAGAGTCTACTAATTCTGGATTTGTTCTGAGGACCTAGGCTGACGTATATCTCTACATGCCACCTAGGAAATGCTTGTTAGTGGACTTAGTATCAGGTACAGTGATAATGATGGCAAGCACTGATGTCACAAGTGATGTCAGAAGCCAGGCATCTTCTAAAACCTTGTGTGTAAAGTTTTTAAGTCATTTCTCCTTGCTCAACTCAAACAAGCAGGTTCTGTTGTTATTGACATCAGTCCCGGATGACAGATTCCATGTATGATTTATTGAGCTCTTCGGGGGAGAATGTCTATCTCATCTTCCACAACACGGGGCACCTGCAATTTCTCTCTTGCCTGCTTATGGTTAGAGGCAGTCCAGCCCTACAACCAGTCTGACCCAGTCTCTACCCTGGTCACCACTCAGCGGCAGCGACACCACTGCCTTCTCCACACTGCAAATTCCTGATCTGAGAAATGTGATGCTCTCAGTGCGACCTCGTCAACTGTGAGGATTCAATGAACTTACAGAAGTAAGACACTTAGTGTAATGCATTGTACACAAGAAGCATAGTAATTTTTATTCTCGTTATTTTTTTTTTCTTTCAAGATTCTCCCAATGCTCCCTAACCCAGAGTCATGCTGGGAAATATTGATCTGGGGCTCCCCGAGCTCTATAATGTCTCAGGGCCTTTGTACATGTTGTCCCCTTGTGTAGAATATGGTCTCCCCCTCATTCAGTTAGAAAAATCCTTTCTTTTAAAGCTATGGTCAGCTTAAATGTACCCTCCTCAGTAACCTTCCATTAGTGCCCCTTCTTCTCTAGGAAACAATATCCTTCTTCATTTGTGGTCTCAGTAGCTTTCTAACATTTCCTTATTGAAGTACTAACAACTGCCTAACCTTTATTAAGTACTTCCATGCCTAGGGGTACACCACGGGTCCTCCTTGCTATTTTTTTAAAAAAATATGTTGATAGCTCCACGAGGTAGGGTTGTATTTTGCTAAAATAATTTTATGTGTCTGCGTCTCCCAACAGACTTGATAGTGGCTTACACATCTGTGTACTCAGTTTGTATCTCTAGGACCTGGCAGAGTGTGTAATTAATACACAGTGGACACTCAATAAATGTGTAAATGAACATATTTTACTAAAGCTATGTACATGCAAATAATAAGCTAGTCATGTGACCCTTATATAATCATGCTTTATTCATTCCAGAAATTTACTGTCAAAATTTTAGAAAAGATTGAGAAGCAAAAAAATAAGTTAAAATTATACTCTTTTAGCCCTAAAGAGTTTATGTGGTTTGTTTAGGAACACACCACTAGTAAATGACTAATATCAGGTTGGGTACATTTGGCTTTAGAGCCCAAATCTTAACTACTGCCTTATACTGCTGACCCCACTTCTAAACACACACACACACACACACACACACACACACACACACACACCCTACCAAAACAAATTATTCTAGCTATTAAAGTGGATTGGAAGAGCTAAAATTTGAAATTAAATTGACCACACATGAAGTACACAAACTACACCTAGTATTCAGAGCAGAGGATGTAGGTCAATGGTAACGTACTTAGCATGCAGGAAACCCTGAGTTCCATCCTCAGTGCACTCAAAGAAAATCATAGCATCCAGTCTTTTAAGGACTCCATATTTCCTATTCTTTCATTTAGGGTCGTGCTGGTGAAAACTGAGAGAGAGAGAGAGAGAGAGAGAGAGAGAGAGAGAGAGAGAGAGAGAGAGAGACAGAGAGAGAGAAAGAGAGAGACAGAGTCAGAGAGAGAGAAAGAGACAGAGAGAGAGAGGCAGAGAGAGAACACAGTAAAGAATAGGAAAAGGAGAGGGGAGAGAGGAGATAGAAAGAGCACAGAGTGGTAAGGTAAAAAGGGAATAGCTTCTAAGTCACACAAACGCAGTTTGGATTCCAGGTGAGTCACTTGATGTGTTACCAGGAACAAGTTGCAAAACCCTCTTGGTCATAGTCTCTTCTTGAGACAGAGATAATTAAAAACACTTTGTGCATTTTGTAAAGTTTAGAGGTAACAAGATGGCACGACCATCAGACGTGATTAATGGTAGGTCTCCTTCGTGCTAAGGCTCTAGTGATAAGGGTGATACCCAGTGACTCTCTGAACAGCAGTCTTGATGAATTGTTTTACACAGTGACACATGGCTTTTTCCCCCAAAATCCATCACTTTAACTCTCCTGGAAATTTTTTATTATTACTAGATACCTTTAATAACTTGCTACATATTCATTTTCCTAGAAATTCAAGCTCCTCTCTCACTCTGTCTCTTTTGAGATAAAGAGAAAGAAGTGGAGGATTAAGGTCTTAGAGCTAATTTCTTTTAGAAGTCGATCGTTTTCATTCCCCTATCATTAATGTTTTCTCTTTTCCTTTATCAGAGAGTTGCTTCTCATTGAACTCCTATTGCCAAATGGAACTCTCTTGTTTTCTTGCAAGATGAAAGGAGGCAGCCATGAATGAGCCACTAGACAGCTTAGCAAATGCTTCTGATTTCCCTGATTATGGAGCTGCTTTTGGAAATTGCACTGATGAAAAAATCCCGTTCAAGATGCATTACCTCCCCATTATTTATAGCATCATTTTCATCGTGGGTTTCCCAGGGAATGCAGTGGCAATTTCCACTTACATTTTCAAAATGCGCCCTTGGAAAAGCAGCACCATCATCATGCTGAACCTGGCCTGCACAGACTTGCTATACCTAACCAACCTCCCTTTCCTGATTCACTACTATGCCAGTGGTGAAAACTGGATCTTTGGGGACTTTATGTGCAAGTTCATCCGTTTCGGCTTCCACTTTAACCTGTACAGCAGCATCCTTTTCCTCACCTGTTTCAGCATTTTCTGCTACCTTGTGATTATCCACCCTATGAGCTGCTTTTCTATCCACACGACTCGATGGGCAGTGGCAGCCTGTGCTGTGGTGTGGGTCATTTCCTTGGTGGCTGTCATGCCCATGACCTTCCTGATCACATCCACCAGCAGGACCAACAGATCTGCCTGCCTTGACCTCACCAGTTCGGATGACCTCACTACTATCAAATGGTACAATCTGATTTTGACTGCCACCACTTTCTGCCTCCCCTTGGTGATAGTGACACTGTGCTATACAACCATCATTAACACCCTAACCCAAGGGCCTCAGACTCAAAGCTGCCTTAAGCAGAAAGCCCGAAGGCTGACCATTCTGTTGCTCATCATCTTCTATATATGTTTTATACCCTTCCATGTCTTGAGGGTCATTCGGATTGAAACTCGCCTGCTTTCCATCAGCTGCTCCGTGGAGAATCACATCCATGCAGCTTACATCGTTTCTAGATCATTAGCTGCCCTGAACATCTTTGGGAATCTGTTACTCTATGTGGTGGTCAGCAACAACTTCCAGCAGGCCATCTGCCCATCCATGAGAGGAAAGGCCAGTGGGACCCTTGAACAGACAAAGAGAGTCAGTTGCTCAGTCAACCCTTAAAACACTTCACTTCCTCAAAAATGAAAGCCTGTTGATTCTTCATCTACCACTGTTAACAAGTCCAGACTACTTCACTGGATGACATCCCTAGGGAATGCTGTGAGTTTAGCTTATTACATGCCAAAGCCAGGGGTGGGGCTACTAATTCTTTGCAAATGTTTTGTTGAGGTCTTCTTGTGGGTAGAAATAAGAATAAGATGCTTATACAATTACCGATGATTGGGACTCAGGGCGTCTTAAAGAAAGAATATCTGTTCCCTCCAACTCTATGTATATACATGAAAACCAAAGTTCACACCCCAGTGTTGGAGAACCTTTTAGTGACTGAGTTCCCAGCTGAAACCCAACATGTACTTATTCATCCCGAAATACCAACATGACAATTAAACCTAAATACTGAGATTTTGGTTTAGGAATAGCAACTCATATGTTAACATCTGTTGTCTTAAAAGAAAAACACAGTAACAGAGCTTTCAGTGATGCAAATAGCTTTTCATTGAAAGGTGCACAATGAGCATGATCTTTGCTGTTGTATGCATGTTGACCATTTGTCAGACATTGGCTGGGTGACTTAGTTTGCCAGTTGATGGACAGGGCTTTTCTGGCAGAGAGGCTCTTTGTGCTGGCTGTGGCACATGTGCCATAGCTTTGCCACCACTGCCTGTATCTTTCATCAGATTAGTGGCAAGATAGGACCAAAAAACCTTTCACTCCTGCTTTCATGATCTTTCATGCTTTGGGGCTTATTTCCATTGAAACCCTAGACATTTCAAAATATTATTTGTATCTTTCTCCATATTTTATAATCTTATACCTTTACAACATTTTTGCTTCACACTTTGCTTTAAGATGATTGAACTAGGCTCTAATTAATTTTGTAGACTGAAGCAAGACAATTAAAATGGCTTGGAGATGTCTGTGCAAATAGTTGGCAAAGTACTTGGTGTATTATGTTTTTGTTGTAGGAAGTCCTCAAAGTTGTTATTGAATTTATAAAATTGTCAAGTTGTATTATCAATGTTTCCTAGGAGAGACACATTTGAGGAACAGAGATTCATTCAGTTATCATATATACTGGACATTAAAGCAGAACAGGCTTTCTTGATTTCTGTATGAAAATGCTCAGGTAAGAGCTAATTCTGAAGATGGGTGATCTTTTAAGACAATGATGTAAATATATCTGTTGAAACAGCCACAGTTATTCTTGAATTATAAGTTTGCTTAATTGTCAGTGAGTTTAAATACTTGAGAATATACCTGGTCTTGATAATTAGGGTTCTAAAATGGGTTGATATAATTAATAAACTTATTTTTTAAAATCTCTGAATAGATTGGTCATATCTTTTTTCTTTTTGTCTATTATATTGACATGCACCTAATTTGTGCTTGCTTGAAGAACAAAACCATTTGATAAATCATCGTAGAAAAGGCCGGAATTGATGACTTCATCAGAGGATCGGGCCCTCAGGAATGCTTCGTGACTTTCGGAGTTGTCTAGGACTTTGCCTCTGACTTAGCCCTAAGCGAGCAGGCTCCTCTGGAACCTGCCAAGGCTGTGGGTTGGTGTGGGATGGGAGAGCTGAGGGCTCTGAACGTGAGCTTCCCTGCAGCATCGTGGTTTTCTCTAACCACCTTTCCAGTTCTCCTCTCTTGGGTTTCTGAAAAGTACAGAATACGCTATTTCCTTTGAAGATCAAGAACTTGTTCAGCCATGCCATCTGCGCAGTATGGAGGAGGTTCAGAGTCCAAGCTGGAACCTGGCAGCTGTCTGGCGCTCCTCTTCCTTTGTCTCTCTCATGCCTGGTGCAGCCGTGGGCATTTACTAAAGTGCTGCCAGGTGAATCTTTGTACTCTGCCGTCTCGCCCTGGGCACACGTCTGTCCTTTCTCTCCATCTCTATTCCTTCATGTCAAAGACTTCTCTCAGCAGAAAAAGCCATCTCAACCTCTTTTTTGTTCAACTTGTCTCTGTTGTTTCCTTTGTCCTTTCCTTTCTGGCCACCAATGTATATAAAAAAAAATTATCTTCTGAAAAGATTTTTTTCTCTGTATCTAAGGTTCTTATTTTGCTCTCTTAGGGATTTGGCTCCAGCATTTAATCCCACTTTCTCAAATTTTTACCATTTTTATTACACTAGATAATTGACCTTAGCTCAGGAGCATGCATAATTTCCATTATCCTCAAAATACCTTCCCCAGACTCGGCCTTTCTGCCATCCTATTACCTGACCTGCTTCCTGGAGTTATAGGTTAGGTATAGATGGCAGTCTGCCCTTCAGGTTTCTGTAGATTGAATTTAATCACAAAGATCTGAGCTAAATTGAATTCAAAGGGTCACTTTTATTTTCCAAAGTAAAGAGTTCTGGGCTAATTATGCTAGAGGTTGCATTTTGAACTGAGGCCAAAAAAGGGAATGATGATCCTTTCCAGACTAGAATGGGACCTCGACGACCTTGCCTCATACAGTTACAGGCAGAGAAAACCTAAGAGCCAAAGAGCAGAGCTCGGCCTCTGTGTACTGGTGGGGACTGTCAGGCTTATTTAGCTTAAGGACTAGAAGCTCAGATAGGCTCATGGTGCCCAGGTATGGGGAACTTGGAAAACCTGTTCCAGATTCTGAGACACGGGATCCTCCCACCCTTGCTTTTTTTGTATCATGGAAATCGTCTTTCAGTCATAAATTTAGAAAAAGTGCCAACATGACTTCATATACGGGTGTCTGAATTGTACCAGTAGTTACTATCCTGCCACTATTTTATTTATCTCTACACTTTTTAAAGAACATTTAAAAGCAAATTCTAGCCAACATACAGTGTCATTTAGGAATGCTTCACCACTGACTTCCTTCAAAACAAGTACAAAATAAAAAGTATTCTTTAACATTATTTGATACTAATCCATATTTCATTTTTTTCTGCTGCTTTAGAAATATACTTCTTACAGTTTTCCCCTCTAAATCAAGATCTAAACAAGCTCCATGCATTGCATTTGGCTGATATATCTCTTAAAATTCTGTTAATCAATTATTTTCTCCTTGCTTTACTTGTTGCCAATTATTTAATAAAGAAGATAAATAATTTGTTCTGTAGAATTCACAATTTCCATCGTTGTTTTCATTCAGTTATTTATGACAGGTTGTAATCTGACTGGCAGAGTTTACAGTGTTATTTCTAAGAAGATCCTAATTTTCTCTTCTCTTCCTTCTTTCCTTCCTGTCTCCTTCTCTCTCCACTTCTTTTCTTTTTACAGAAGTTCTAATCCACCTAGAACATGTGTGGTGTCCGACTCCCTATGCTTAGCAATTGACTCGAGGTTTTAGGATTTGTCATATTGATCACTGTACCCTAAAGTCCCCCCTGCATTCTTTGCCTTTCTAGATTTATGTCTAGTTTTACCAGCTGTGTACTGTTGATAAGCACTAGTTGATTTAAAAACTTTTTCTGCTTTTATTAATTCTGTCTTTTCTATAAAGGAGATCTTTGGTCCAATATCTTTTACTCCCTATGGATAATATTTAGCTACTCTTCCTTCTTTGAGAAGGCACAAGTAAAAGTGAATAACAGACAGGGAAGCCATCTCTCAGTACTTCCTCAATGAGAGTTAAACGTTGACAGAAATTTTGACAAACTTCCCTTTCATTATGGGCCATGTTCTTTGGAGTTAACAGACATCCTCACAATGCCCAAGGCTGGGACAGCCCCCAGGGTAAGGAGACCTTGAGAAATTGCCTTCCTGTGGTCAAACTTCTAATCTGTAGTGTCTTTTTGTGTCCTTTTGGACCAGTGTAAGGCATTTAAATTTCTCTCACAGCTTTAAGAAATAGAAACAGATTTGGAAGTTGCTACATTTCAGATTTGAAGTGGCTCCCAAACACCCATATGTTGGAGACTTGGTTGGCAACCTGGAGCACTATTTTGGGATGTGATGGAACCCATAGGAAGCAGGGTCAGGTAGGAAGAAGAACTTAGGGGAGTTCCTTTAAAGGTGGTATGGGCACCTCGCCTGTCCCTCACTCTCTCTTTCACCTTTCTTTCACTCTCCCTCTCCCCAGCTGCTGTGAGCTGAGCAGCCTCCTTTGCCATGTGCTCCAGCCTTGATGTACTGTGCCGCCACAGGCCCAAAGCAGCAGGACCAAGAAACCAAAGGCTGAAATCTCTGAAACTGAGTGAGATACATCTTTCTTCTTTCAGGGTGATTAGCTCAGTTATTCTGTCACAGCAGTAGAAAGCTAACACAGCAACATGTCTTCCTTAAACTGTAAGCAGAAAATGTATCACACTGCAGTCATTGTGATGATTTGGTGTGCCTTTGGTTCGCCTTTGTTTCTGGTATTTTCTATTTATTTGTGTCTTTATAGTTGTTATATTTCTTATAAAATATATAGTTGAATTCTGTTTTCTATCCAAACTAAAATTCTCTGCCTTGGGTGTAGAATACTCAATGCACTTATATTTGCTATATATTATATTTATTAATACCAAATAATATACATACTGTCTCATTTCTATGTGTGTATACTTACTATAAATGTTAATTTATAAATTATGCTTAGTAAGAGACTGACAACAACATTTAGTAATAAATTAGACCAATGTACTATAATAGAGCTGCTGGCATATCTACTCTTGCATTCTGACACCATTATGGAGCACAGTATGAGATATTTGAACACAAGCATGACAGTGCAGGACAGCATAAGAAGTCGTTATGCGTCCCAGAAAAATAAGCAATTTAAAGTTTACAAATTACTTTTGGAATTTTCCATGCCATATTTTTGACCATAGTTGACCTCAGGTATATAAAATTGCAAAAACTAAAATTAAATGAAAGGTAGAGTAAATGTGAGGTTCTAAAAGAAAGATTTGGTTCTGCTGTTATGGTTCCTAGCAGAATACTGGTGAATTTCTCTCTAGGAAAATACAAATATAGTGATAACAAATACAGCTTCCATAGCTCTAACAGTGTGCTGGGGCCTGTTTTAACTGCTTGTTTCATGAACCC